GACGTTCCCTCTGCGTCCCTTTAGCATCGGCCAAACCGAGGTTTCGGTGCGACTACAGTCGAAGGTGGAGCGTCTAATCTTAGGGAAGATTTGGATTAACTGAAGTGGCAGCTGCCAGATTTCATTCTGATTGTTTTGTTTACGAGCAGAGCAGCAGATCAGCACTTCGCCCGGCAGGAGAGTCGCCAAAGCTCCTGATGGGAGCAGCACCAGAGTGAGAAATGAGGGAAATCATTTGGACAATAAGGTGGAAATAAAAAGAGTGCAGCAGCTCAAAGAGCAACAGAAAGAATGCTTGGAATGAGCTGAAGGACAAATGTGATAACAGACTTGACTGGATATCAGGTATGTAGGGGGCTGTGGTTCAGAGTCAGGGTCACAACACTTCCTCCCCTCTGAAATGTGTGCGACCCGAGCAGTCGACTGGCAGAAATCAAATTCCTGCCCTAATGAAGGAAGTGTGGAGCTGCACTTTCTTCCTGCCTCAGCAGGAGGTCGATCCAGCGAGCACACGGGGAAGCCATCAGTCTGAGCAACGCTTAGCCCACAGGAGAATCACTCCCGTCGCTCCGCGTGGTACGAGCCGGTTATATATCCATCGGACAGACGTAGAATTAATTCAAACGAATAGCATCAGAGCTCCTGGTACAGAAAGAGGGGTTTGACACACATGGAGGCTGCAGGAAAGACAACCTTATAGTTTTCCAATTAAAACACAGAACAAGGAGCCGAGCAGCTTCAAGCAGCAGCAGAGAAACAAACTGTTGAGGCTCTTCTAAAGCAATGTTGGTTTGTTTGTTATTGTCAGGTTATAAACTCACCCATCACTCAGTGAACCTTTCTGTCTGTTACAGGAATACTGATGGATTCACTCACCTAACCTGAAAACCAGATTAGACGCTCTGTTACTGTTTTCATCACACTAACATTTATCAGTTAGCCATTCATATCTGACGCAGCACACTTACACGCTCATGTAAATTCTTTTGTTAGCTGAAACAAACTCAGATACTCAGAAGGACATTTTCTGCATGTTAAAACCAAAACCAAGCCCTGGTTGAAATGCATTCATGCAACACCTGCATTCATTTACTGTTTACTTTAAGCTGCCTGCAAACACTCCAAGATGTCCAGGAATCATTGTTTATCTTTAATAACTCATCAGACTGGACACTGGGCTTAAGGACATGCTACGCCTCGCCACTGCTTTTGAAGTCGCTGAATGAGATCTTTAACCTTTGTATGTGCTGCTGTTGCCTTTTTCAAGAGAATCGTCGTCTGGTTG